GATGTGCCCAAGAGGTGAGTGGAGGTCGCCCCCGGCCGGGTCTGCTAGGCCGTCCCAGCGCCGGGACACGCGCCCTGGCAGACACTCTGTCCCCTTCCCCCTGGGGCGGCCTGGCTCTGCGACCCACCCCCTGCGCCTGGCTGTGGAGAGCCCCATGCGTGCACGGCAGCCCTTAGCCCAGTGCGTGGGGTGTGCTGGTGCAACAAACCCCTTCTGCAGCCATAGAAAGGGCTGCAGCGTCTAGGGCCAGTAGCCAGGGATGCCTGTCTGAAAGGTTCAGAAATCATGAGTCTGGATTTGGAAAGTCGTGAGATTGGCTTGAAAACCTGGTGGGGTTGTGTGTGTATATGTGTGTGTTGATTAATGTTGGGATACGTTTTTTGTGGTCATCTATTGGTTTCTGAGCTTTGATGTACACTCACATTTCCCATCTTTTCTCGGTTATCACGCGTGCTTGAAACATGGCATTTGTCCTTTTTTAGCTCAGAAAGGGTTTTTGGTGTCTGTGTGTTTTCTTGCCCTATCCAGCTTAAGCACAGAATCAGAGACATTTAAAGACTGGCCAGTGTCATTTTCAAGTGATAAAATAGCAAGTGATGTCAGTCTCCCATCAGTCATTGTAGCTTGAAAATACGTTATAATGAAGCCTGAGGTTTAAAAAGTTGCTCTCGCTTCTTGCGAACAGTGACCTGCAGTTTGAGTAGAATCCTCAAAGCTACCCACATGTTAGGAAAGTGTCCAGCTCAGTATCATAAATGAATTGGAAAATTTGGAGTGGAGAGTGTTTCCCATGTGACTGATATTGTCCAGTTCAATGTACAGGTCTTTATCATTGATGTATGACCATTCCGTATGTGTCATCATCTGATGAAGTTCCTTAAAATTACTCAAAAGTGTTTTCCTATCTCTCAGCAGCTTATGAATTCAAGGCTGTATTTTTATGAGACCCTGCGGTCTTGAAAACATCTAATTTATCTAAGGCTACGTCTAGACATAATAGTTAAATTTATTTTCAAAAGAATCTTTTCCGAAATTTGGCGCATCTACACAGCACCAAATTCAGAAAAAAGTGCTCTTTTGACACATCCCTTATGCCTCTTACAACGACGTTTATAGGGATTGTGAAAGAGCGCATCCACTTTTTCGAAATTTTTTTCAGAAAAGCAGACGTGTTCCTTAAACATGTTCCTTAGACTAGATACCTCCAGTATCCCAGAAAAGCAATGAAGTCTAGACATAGCTAGACTCTCAGAAGGGTAGCTGTGTTAGTATGTAACTTTAAAAACAACAAGCAGTCTTCTGGCACTTTAGAGACTAAAAAATATATAGGATTATGCACTTGTGTGGATAAATACCACTTCATCAAATGAGTTGGTGTGGAAATAACAAAATTCAAGGTATAACAGCAGAAGCAATTATCTATCAATTGTAAGACCCATGATAATGGAGCTAATTAATTCAGGCTGGATGTGTCCCATTCATAGCATTAGATGTGAACATGTGAATGTCAAAGGCAGTGGAAAATGGCTTTGTAATGCATTAACCAGTTAATATCTTTATTCAAGCCTAGGTTGACAGTGTCACATTTATAAATGAATTCCAGTTTAGTAGTCTCTCTCTCTAATTGGGTGGTAAAATTCCTTTGTAGGCTATTTTAAAATCCATTTGAGTGTCTAGGTAGGTTAAAATGTTCCCCTACAAGTTCATATATGTTACTATTCCTGATGTCTGATTTGTGTTCATTTATCCTTTGTCACAAAGGTTGTCCAGTCTGGCCAATATAGAGTAAACTTCCGATAATCTGGCACCTTTAGGACCCAAGGGATGCTGGATTATCAGATATGCCAGCATACCGGAAGGGGACCTATGAGGGGTCTGAGGTGGGAAGGGGGGCGGGAATTGCACAGCGTGGGAGAGGGCGACGCTAAGGGACCAACCTGGCAGCACCCCAGCTGCTCTGCCTCTGGGTTCCCTAAATCCACCACTGGTCAGTTTCAGCAGCGGCAGACTTGGGGAAGCTGGGGGCAGAGCAGCTGGGGTGCTGCCGGGTTGGTCACGCAGCGCCGCTCAGGTGAGGGGCGGTGCTGCGGGGCCCACCCAGCCGCCC